TGCCCACCAGCCCTGGCCTCCACCACTCCCAATCCAACCCCCAGCTCAGGTTCAAGTCCTGACAGTCCAGCGCCTTGTAATGTCCTCCTGACGTGAGAGGCGCTGTGTCAATGTAATATGTTGTTGTATTTTGCACATCGCAAGGTCCCGCAATCAGCCATTTTTACAGCCAATGTATAATCCTAACAATACTCCTCACATTTGATACAGTGCCTTATCACAGCATCAAAACATGCTCAAGAGCCTTACAAAATTGACTCTACAGTGCGTATTTTGTAGGTGAACTCGACAGCCAGTGTTTGCAACAGCAACAATCCACAAATAGCCGTGACAAAAGCCTTCAATCTCGAAGTTCCTGACCTGGGGCTTTAGCGATGTGTGAAGTGCTTTGATAAATAATCATCAGAATATTAATAATCCTTGCATTTGATGCAGGGCCTCAATCACATCATCAAAACTTCACTGAATTGCAACATATCGACAGATTCGGAATAATTTGCAAAATGATTAAATTAAAAATACGGGAAGCGTGGATTTTGCTTTAATAGTTACCGAAACCTGTCAACACCCCCAATGCCAACAGATCAACAGCACCACTATCAGGTGTCCACTGGCACTACATCTCCCGCAATATATGACAGCATCTCTCATGGCTGAGTGGCTGTAGGCTGTGCACAGCAGAGACTCTGGGTGTGACCCCACTGGGAGATCTCAGGCTCTGATCCAGTCAGTCCTGTGCTCGATCTCTGGTGAGACAGAGAGAGCGCAGTTCGTTTGTTGATGAGGCACCAAAATGTAGCCGTAGACATCGGGCTCTTCACTCGTCTGCTGGGCTGAAGCTCTGACCTCATCTCGTGTTAAACTCGTGTCCGTCAGTGGCTCCAGCCTCGCTCGTAGCGTGTGACTTGGGACTGTGATATTATCTAATCCTTATCGATCGCTCGGGACCGATCCACTTGTCTTTACCACAGTGCGATCTTGTCATATATACAAACAATCCTTGTATTTGACACAGCTCCTCGCGTCAGGACGTCTCAAAGCGCTTCACAGGACATGCCGTAAAGTGTAGTGACTGTGTGTACTTTGAGACATCTTGCTGAAGTGAGAGAGGCTGGATATGACATGTAAGGATTATTATTAACTTCTGACCGTGACGAGAATGTGACGCTCACTGCTGGAAGCTGTGGCTGAAGCAGAAACGATCAATGCGTTACAGAGGAAGCTGAGAAGGGACTAGAGGGGACTACAGAGTGCAGCATGAAGCCCCTGCGCTGAACAGCCCGTCACTGAGCTGGAGTCTGTGTAATGTTATGTAAAAATAGAACTTAGAAATTAAACCTCTTTTGGGAATTCATGAGGAAGGCTTTATTAGGATCACTTATTGTTTTGCTCATTTTCAAGTCAAGCGATGGACATCTTCTGCAGGTTCTTACGGAATACTAATAGTGTCCCCATGGTGATAGCTAGTCACCATGGATACACAAATCCCACGCTTCAAACTCTAGGGATGTGATTATAATTCAACGGCTAATTACACGCCCACAGCATAATGCGTCATTTTACTCCACATGTTAGAAGGGATGAATGCAACGATGACCATTTTTGATCTTAGGAGTATCTGACACGTGCGAAATCCCTTCAGCACATTTAAAACAAGTATCCAAACCGGGTAATGCCACCTGTTAATGTCACAGAACATCTTTGTGTCAGGAATGAAATATGCACTTTCCCACTGCTTACCTAGTTCCAGAGAATATTAATAATAATAATAATCCTTGCATTTGATATAGACCATTATCACATCTTCAAGCCATCTCAAAGCGCTTCACAGAATATGCTGTAAAGTGAACTGACTGTATATTTTGCGGGCGAAATGCGGTCGCCAATTGCGCACAGCAGTGTCCCACAAACAGTCGTGGATTGAACAACAAAAATAACAAAATTACATGTGTATAGCGCTTTTCATGCCGGGAGGACGTCCCAAGGCGCTGGACAGACAGAGTTACAGACCCGAGCTGAGGGACGGGGTGGGGGAGGGGGGAGAGTGGGTGGGGGGGAAGCAGGGAGATCGAAAGCACGGTCGAAGAGGAGGGTCTTGAGATGGGTCTTGAAGGTGGCGAGGGAGGGGGCGAGACGGAGGGACTGCGGGATGGAGTTCCAGAGGGTGGGTGCAGAGTAGCGGAAGGCCTGCCCGCCGATAGTGAGGGGAGAAAAGCGGGGGACGTGAAGCTGACCAAATTATAAAAATTTTTGAAGGAATTATTACCCCCGGAAATGTGATCCACCAATCGACTAACACCCGGGTTCCTACTTACTCTAGGTAAACAGAGGCGTGTGGATGTAAGAAAACTTGCCTAATGTTTTGCCTGGGAATCGAGCCCAGGGCCTCTTGCTTGCGAGGTGAGTGCTCGAACTACCAAGCTACAGGACTCCACACACTGGATGGCAAGAGCCAAGTTTTGGGAACCCCAGAGTGTGCGTTCCGGTAGCTTCTGGAGTTTAATCGGCTAAAACCGCATTGTCATTGATACTGCTGTTTGGCAGGGTTTCCTGCTGCTTGTCCGGCTACGATCATCCCACCAGTTAGGGCTTTGGCTTGTGGGGTTAATAGGAACTGAGTGGAATAACTCGCTGGCCCCAGTCACTGGTCGGCCCTTCCAAGTCCTGCCGATGAGCCAGGCTGGTCTGTCACCAGCAGCGTCCTGGAGTACTGCGGACCCGCCTGGCTCAGAAACTGGACAGACATCTGAACAAAGGGGGGATTCGATTCTGACATTCCACGATGTTGGAGGCAGCTAAGGACCAAGGAAATTGCTGGTGACATTGGCAGCGAAGGGGGGAGGGAAACACAATGATGTTCAATGAGGATAGTACAGAAACCACCTGGATTGAAATGGCAATCAAATTTTCCCTATCGACCGACTGAGAGCAAGACTGAGCCAAAGCGATCACAGTCTGTCTGGAGAACAGCAGAAACCAGGGCACAACGAACAGATTCAATACTGGAGTTTTAGAAACTTGTAGTACTTAAGGCAACAGGTTGGGTCAAACCAAGCTTTAGCCTGCACCAACCCATCGTATAAATGAGCTGGCAAAGCGCACTGTTCCTTTCACTATTTCTGTCTGCATAACAAAACAACATCTCCCAAGTAGAGCACACGCTGTCCACACACGATACAATCTGTACACACAGCACACGCTGTCCACACACGGTACACTCTGTACACACGGCACACACTGTACACACACCACACACTGTACACACAGCAGACACTGTACACAGCACCGGGTACACACTGCAGACACTGTACACACAGCACAAACTATACACACAGCACACACTATACATACAGCACCATGTACACACAGCACCGTGTACACACAGCACACAGGAGTCCTAACCTGCTCAATCTCTCAGCTGGAAACTAGAATACATCAACTGTGGTTCATTTTCAAAATAAAACTGAACTGAAATGATGACTCAAACCTCCAGTCATTTCACCTCAGAGAATACGGATTAAGTCCAAAATCACACCATTCAAATAAATTAAATCCAGAACAGTGAACGGGAGGAGACAGATGGATTTGCATAACATCTTGACATTCCAATTAAATAGTCCCTGTGCTGAGGATTCCCGATTCACTGTCGGGCTGAAACCAAATCAGTCTTGTCCTGACAGAGAAACTGCCATTAGCTCAGTCACTGCGCCAGGCGGGTTCGTACTGCAGGCATTGCTGGTGACAGCACAGCCGATTATTCTAACTGAAATCCCAACCACAGATCTTGTGTGTAACCTTTAGCGCTCCGGGACGCAATCCCGCGTGTAGGGTGCTATATAAATGCAAGTTGTTGTTGTATAGTGGCAACACTACCTCCACCACAAGCACATAGACTGCACTTGAGGGTCAGAAAGACACACATCTCACCATTGCCATTTGTCAAATGTCTGTAGATAAGAGTCTCTCTGAAGGACAAGGTAGACTTAAGAGGTTAATGCTGAAGCAGGGGGTGTCAGACGTGCAACCCTCCTCTTCTTAACAAAAGACGGATATTCCAACCTGTGCATTCTGCATTTCATGACTGACAATCGCATCACGCCAACAACAGCTCACAGAGTCAGTAAACGTAGCCAATCGGATGGTGCACAGAATGCGTTCGCCCACATAAGAAGCACTTTGAGAAGCCTCGAAGACGTGATAAGGCGCTGTATCAAATGCAAGGATTATTTATCATTTTTATTTTATTATAAGCCGTAGAAAGGCAAATTTCATGGTGGCATTTTCACAGGCCGTCAGTCTGGTTTCTCAATGATGAGAAAAACATTATATTTTGGAATTTAGGTTAATGATGGAGATTTAGCATTAGCCTGCAGACTGGTGTTGATGACGAGGAACTGTGCAGTGGTGGGGGGGACTAATGATTTGTACAAATAGGAACATTTGAATAAATACACAGACGATCATTAGAGACACTTTCAGGTACAGTATTATACATAACTTTTTTTTACGGTGCGGTCACTAAATGAAGAGTGTTAATTTAAACATCCCCTGTGGCCAGACGAGCTCGACCTAACAACTGGATTCCTACTTACTGCTGGGTAAACAGAGGCATGTGGAGTAAGGAGACTTGTCCAATGTTTCGCTCTGCCCGGGATTCAAACCCAGGTCCTCTCACTTGCGAGGACTCCCACGTGGATGGGGATGAAACACAGACTCATTCTGCACAGCAGGTTGCAGCCCCACAGCCCCAGCCCACGAACCACAGAAATCGCCTCTTCCTAGTTTGCACACACACCAGCTGCCGGGGAACGAGCCAAGAGCAGCGTGAGGAGCTGTGATCCCAACACTCGAGAGTAGTCAAACAAGAGGAACATATTAACACGCTTGCAGCTCACTGCCCCTCCAGGTGACAGGCCCACACCTGAACCTCAGCGCAGAGAAAGGGCAGGAACACTCACTCCCCCCCCCACCCCGGAGGTTTAAGAAACAATTGTTTAGAATTATACATAAACTGTAAGTGTTTAATATATGACCTAGGAAAGGTAAATTCATTACAATTTATGTTGCTCAGTCACACAGGCCTCACTTTTATCATTAGAGACTGTCACGTTCCCAGTGGCACTGGGTGTCCAATAAAGAAACACAATATTTCATAATTAAACAAGAAAACAGAATGCATTTCAACTCAGTTTGTCCTTCATGCTGAAAGCCAAAAAAAAAGCAAATGACAAGAGAGTTGTTGAGGTGAAAGGCTGCTCCGCTCTGCCCAAGTGTTAGTAAAGAGCCAGGACTTTCACAACTCATTGTCCCAGGTTCAGAATCTCAGTGGAAAACCAGAATTGTATACATGCACATAAAAGAAATTTAAAATGAGACGAATGGTAACTGTATCCCAGAAGCACAAAGCCACAGGATTTCCTGTATGTGAGGGCCTCACGGTATCTCTCTGTGGCTTGCTCACTCTCAGATCCACTTAGTATAAGTCCCGTCATTGCCGCAGTGCAAATGTGCAAGTCCTGACGGTGCTAAAATCCAGTTCAGTATTCTTCCACCCAGCCGTTCTCTGCTATAAACGCATCAATTACCTCCTTCATGGCCAAGTTTGGAATCAACTGATCTTGGGTCAAAGCGCTTCGGGTCACAGGGTCAAAGTGGCCCACCCGCTGAAAAGTAAAGGACAAGGTGTTTGGTACACAGTTACTGACAGTGACTCGATCAGCACAAACACTGCTCTGTATAAAATGATCCCAAACAAAATGACGTTGACAGACTTTGTCAATCCAGCGTTGGTCGGACTAAGAAAGCCTGTTGGTAGCAGAGCAGGTAATCACATCTCAGAGCACAGACACCAGAGGCCTCTGGGAGGCAGGAGTCACCTGGGCTCTTACACAGTGCAAGCAAGTCTCCTGCAATATGGAGTCCTGTAGCTCAGTGGTTAGAGCACTCGCTTTGCAAGTGAGAGAGACCTGAGTTCAATTCCAGGCAGAGGGCGAAACCTTGGGCAAGTTTCCTTACTCCACACAGAGCCTAATAATAATCCCTCCAAAACCAAAAACAATAATAAATTGGTCATTTTCAATCTACGACTGTTTGTGGGACATTGCTGTGCACAATTGGCTGCCGCGTTCGCCCACAAATATACAGTCAATTCACTTTACAGTGTGTTCTGTGAAGTGCTTTGGGACGTCCTCCCGACGTGAAAAGTGCTATATCAAATGCAAGGATTATTATTATTATTAATATTATGTCATGGTGGAAACTGGTTGGGGATAGGAGCTGAGTTGGTCTGATTGACGGGTGATGATAAGTGGTCCCCGGAGATCTTCTCAGAACTTATAACAATGACTTGGACAAAGGAACAGAGGGGGATTACTTCTCTGTTTGCAGGAGGTTTGTAAATTGTTAAGAGGAGAGAATTATAGAAAGCTCCAACCACTAAGCTACAGAACTCCACAGTCTCATTATGTCATTGAGACATCTCAAAGCATTTCATAGGATAAATTGTAAAGTGGATTGACTGTGTATTTTGTGGACATAAAAGAAATTAGTCACCAAATGAAACAGCTAGAAAACAGGGAAGAAACAGCTAAATGGACTCTAGCACAAAGTGTCCTGCCCAGAGCGTCACCGTAAATTAACAGTATAAACACCATTGGTGTGGATTACACACATGTGGAGGGAACACAGAACCTGTAAAAAGCACGGTAGATGCTGCAGGGAAATTAAATTTTATGAAACAGGAGGACAACAGGAGAACAGAAGACAAAAAGTGTACAAGGTTATCAAAAAGGATGTCAGGGGTGAGCAAAGATGCTTTCATTTGTATTTCAAAATATTCTTTTAGCATTTAGCTGAATGGATATGGTTTAGTGCTAGCTCCCAGTGACACCGAGGCCTTCCCAAAGCTGGGAGAAGCTGGACACTCACCTGCAGGTGCTCCTCGATATCCTTCCTGTCGTAGGTAATGCCGCTGGGCGTGATGCACGGCTCCCTCATCAACTCAAAGCTGATCTTTCCACACAGATAGTCAGGGATATCCCGCTTCTAAACATAGCACAAACCATCACATTACACCTCTGCAGCAGCTGTTGCGATAAGCGTCCATTGTTAGTATTGTTTCTCCAGATGTCAGGCTGCTGACCGTCCAACTGGTAACCTGCTCCTCAGTCTCAATCGACTAGAGCTCACAGCAGATCCCACGCTCTCACAACCCCTTGGTCTGAAGACACCACTTACTGATTACATAGCATTCACTGCCCTCAGTTTTCTTTTCTGTTCTACTGAAATTACACTGGAATATTTTGTTTCTTGGTTTTCATTTTGTCTTCTGTTTTTTCCACCTCTAGTTTTTACCCAGTATCTTAATCCATAATGGTTAAGGTGATCATAGCTGGACAAGCAGTGGGAAGGCTTGTCCAACCTGCTCTCAATGGAAAACTATGTGTGTTTTAGCTGATTAGACTCCAGCAGTTACCCCAATGCACACTCTAGGTTTTCCCAACCCACAGCTCTCACCAACTGAGCCTAATCCTCTCTGAAACTAGGTAAGCAGGATGCGTCCCTGTGGGTATTCCATTCCAGATGGGAATTTTCTAGTGTAGGTGCACGCGTGAAACTCAATCTGGTGTTCAGACTCATAATCACGGTGATGGGTTTCCAAACTGGCCAAAACAAAAAATTCCATCTATTTTCGGGGGGAGAGGGGGAGGGGGTGGGGAGGGAAACAACTCACCTTTCTCTTTTCATCTACCTGGGAGAATAAGTTATCCATTTCAGTCATGTACTTGTCCTGTAAGATGCAGGGAGAATAACTGGTTAAATATTAACATAGGCAGATCCAAAACAAAACAATAATAAAATGGTCATTTCAATCCAAGACTGTTTGTGGGATGCTGCTGTGCGCAATTGGCTGCTGCGTTTTGCCCACAAATATGCAATCAATTCACTTTACACCATATTCTGTGAAGCGCTTTGAGATGTCGAGAAGATGTGAAAAGCGCTATCAAATGCAAGGATTATTATTATATATTATTATCAATACTGTCAGCAGGATGCCACTGCCCCACATTAACACAACGAGCTAAACACACACACTATTAGAAAATGACAATTACAAATCAAACCAATGCAAAAAGTTTGCAAACTGTCGGCTGCCCGAGAACATGGTATCACGTCACCATCGCAAGGAGACACAGGAAGTAGAGAGTAGGGGGCAGCAATACAATACAAAATGATATTTGCACAGCACCTTTCACATCAGGAGGAGGTTCTTGAGATGTGCCTTGAAGGAGCAAGGGATGGAGTGAAGGGACTGTGGGATGGAGTTGCAAAGGGTGAGGGCAGAGAGGCTGAAGGCCCAACTGCCGATGGTGGGCTGCGTGGGGGACATGGAGTAGGCTGGAACCTGCTGAGCGGAGGGAGCGGACAGGTTGATATTGCCACAGTGCCCTCAACAGCTCCAAGCATCCTTCACAGGTATAGCATCTCAGAGCCCTCCTGGACAGGGACATGAAATCAAGAGAGCAAGAGCCGGGGCAGTAGAAACCACTTTATCCTGACTGCTGACTCCCAAACCAGCAGACTAAACAGCAGTTTATCACCGCCAGTAAAGTCAGGGTCAAATGCCAATGCTGTTGAATAACCTCCTTCCAACATTCAGCCAAGAATAACACGGATAAACATGTTTGACTTCACCACCAAAATCTGATGTAAAACAAAGACTGAAATGTTCTGGTTGTTTCCTGATCATCAGGATTAAGTAACTGATTTTGGAGTCAAAATATAATACTATACTAATGTAGAGCCCACTAAAAAGGGGACCTGAAGGAGAGATTTAAAATTAATGAAAGGTGAACATTAATTGCTGGTTTCACTTTGTGTTGAGTCCAAAACAAGAGGACAAGAGAGCCAGTAAGAGCTGTCTTCATGCAAAGGGTGTGAGAGTGAGGACCTCACTACTAGGAGCTATGGGTGAAGCAAAAAGTATCATCGTATTTAAGAGAAACTCAATGGATACATGGTGGAGAAGCAAATATGGGTCCTTTGAGATGTCCTCCCGACGTGAAAGGCATTGCATCAAAGCAAATACATTTTTTTATAGAAGGAAATCGAGGGGGATGACAGTGGAATGGGGGGGGTGGAGGCTTGTGCAGAGTAAACCACCAACATGGACTAGTTGGGCCGACTACAACACTCTATGTAACTATATAACACTCTGAATTGATCACCAATAATGGAAATACCAACACAGGTTGTGCAGTCCTTACATGTCTAGCTTCTATCTTTGTGATTTCAGTTCGGGTTCGGGTCTCATCCAGGCTCTCTTCATGGAGTTTTCGTTTACATTGTTCCACTTCCCTGTGGGATGGAAAACCAGACACTGAGCACCAGCCATGACATCGGACACCATAGGAGGCTGGAGAGAAGTTCGCTTCAAGTCCCATCTACAGACCTGTCTCTTCGACCATGCTTTCGGCAACCTTTCCCCCACTCTACCCTCCAACCCCAATATCCAGCTCGGGTCCAAAACCCTTGATTGTCTAGCGTCCTTGGGTGTTTTTCGAATATGAAGTGCCCTGTACAACTAAATGTCTGTTGAACATAGCTGAATGTCTGATAAAAATACTTCTGTCCCATTCTAAAAGTGTCTGTCCCATCCCAGCCAAAGAATTACACAAACATACAGAACAAATCCCATGACAATATGGTTCCTGTGTTCCAACAAAACTCACATCACAGGTAATGTCACTGTACTTATCATGTAAGATGAACTTCCCATACACTGTGCAGGCAAAATTGTGTGAAATTAATGCGAGTGTGCCAGAACTAAACTGGACCCAATTCAGCAATGGGCTGACTGTGAGTGTGTGGATCACATAACCACAGATATGAGTCAACAGGTTGGAATTGCCGAGGGTCATTGTTGGTGGAGTGACTGGGCAACATTTGGCAACAGAAGTACTGACAATCTGCCATTGCTACCCCACCGTAATAGAGGGATCATAGGATGTGGCAAAATGGTGGGGCACTGGGATTAAAATATCTGCCAAATTGTAATACACTGGTGGAACAGGCTGGGTTGGTTGAATGGCCACCTCCTGTTCTTCTACGGTGCTATGAAATGAAGGGTAATCCAGCTATTTCAATACATAAAGGCTGACCATACATTGCCAATGACACACAATGAGATAAAATCACTGGAGATTGCATTGTGTAAGAAACAGGTCACACAAGAGAACTGTGGATTGGCCATTACTTCTCTCAGAAGTATAACAATCTCCACTGCAATCTCCATTCAGCAGCTCTGACGTGGCCTCTGACAAACTTCACATAGGCTCTTCAAAGCGAACCAGAGTAGGGCAGGTACAGTGCTGGACATGAGGGCAACAAATTAACCGTAAAGAGGAACCTCTCAATTAGTGGGAAGAGGTTTGAGCAGGGCAGCTCCAGTTAGTCGGCAAGCCGTTGCTCTTTTGTGTGGAGCATGGTTGACGGTTTCTGTGCTTGTCGGTTACTCCTCGAGCTAGCACCTGCCAGAAACATTCTCCTGTTGAGTTTCATAGAATCACAGAATTATACAGCCTGTGGTACGCAGAACACAACCAAATCTCACCCAGAATTAGGGGCTGTTATGGGAAGGACTACAGCTGTGCCTTCAGCCCTGTTGGCTGGGTTCGGTATCGCAGGACTTCCCTTGTGAGCAGTGTGATCTGCCCTCGAACTGGAACGGGAGAGACTGGAACGCAGAGCTCACTGGAGCTCTTGGTCACTAGGCTCAGGCCAGGCTTGCCCTGCCACAAAGGTCATCCTGTCACCTGACCTGCTCGGCAGGGTTGTGAAGACATGTTCAAGTCCACATTGTCCTGTGACAATTTGGGGCCGACAGAGTTTGGGCGGAGGGGGAGGGGCCTGTCTGCGGGGGCAACCCTCGTTCCCAAGTGGAACACAATTGGGTCAAATTTGGTTAATGGGGTGAGCAGCCTAACCTCTCCCCCCGCTCAACCCAACCTCTTCCCCCAACCTCCCCCAACCCCAACCTAAACCCCACCTCCCCGACCTCCTTCCCCAACCTCCTCCCGAAACCCGACCTCCTTCCCGAACCCCGACCTCCCTCCCGAACCCCAACCTCCCTCCCCAAACCCAAACCTCCCTCCCCAAACCTCTCTCCCTCCCCAAGCCTAACTTCATTCACCAATCAACAAATAAAAAAATGAACGAGGGCTTCATAAAACAAATTCTCTAGCATTGTTGACGAAGGAACAATAAGACAGTGAGCAAATAATAAACAGCGCAATCAAATTCTGGAAGATTTTATCTTTGGGAAAGTGGGGTTGCAAGTTAGCAGCGGCAGTTGAGGGTGAAGTGTAAAATCAATGAGATTTAAAGGTTTATTTTTGTGCTAATCTCTCTGAGCCCTGATCATACCTCTCCTTCTCCGCCACGATCAGCTTGGTGAGGTAGTCATGGAGATCATTCTCCTGCTGAATTCTTCTGTCCTCAATACTGTTCCATCGTTTCTTCTTTGCTATCCTCAAAGCACTTGGAATGTCATCCCCAAAATTCAGCCTTTGCTCTTTTGCTAAATTATAAGCTGAAAGAGAGTTTGGTTACAAATATTACTGACAAAAAGGAACAGATGGTCCCCTTCCTCTCAAAGAACAAGTGATGCTGAAATAAAATCATCCCTCGCAAACCACAAAATTCACCCCAAATAAACAGCTACAGCCCTTGAGGTAAGCGGGTCTCTTTGAACTGGCGCCAAGGTGACATGCTTGGCTACAGAATGTCTATCTTTGAGTCCACTTTCTGTGGCGGTCTTTGTCATCCGTTCTTGAGCCTGGTGGGTCTGCAGTGCTCCAGGGCACTGCTGATGCCAGCACAGCCAGCTTGGCTCATTGGCAGGAATTGGAAGGGCAGACCAGTCACTGGGGCCAGAATGTTATCCCACTCAGCTCCCGTTATCCCTGCAAGCCAAAGCCCTAATGGATAGGGTGGTCCTAGCTGGACAAGCAGCAGGAACGCCTGCCAGACAGTGCTCTCAATAGCAAGCTACGTGGTTTTATCTGGTTCGACTCCAGTTATCTCAATGCACACTCTGAAGTCCCCAAGCCTTGGCTCTTGCCAACCTGTGCCTAATACTCTCTGGAATTAGGTTAAGAGGATAATAATAATAATCCTTGTATTTGATATAGCGCCTTATCACGTCTTCTAGTCGTCTCAAAGCGCTTCACAGGATATATTGTAAAATGAAGACTGTATATTTTTGTGGGTGAAATGCAGCAGCCAATTGCGCACAGCAGTGTCCCACAAACAATCGTGGATTGAGTGACCGAGGGTTTATTATCTCAGAAAAAGTGATCTGCCATTTGACTACTTACTGCTAGGTAAACAGAGGTGTGTGGAGTAATGTTTCGCCCTGACGGGAATAGAACCCAAGTCTCTTGCTTGCGAGGCGAGTGCTCTAACCACTGAGCTACAGGATGTGTCCCTACAGGAAGACAGCTATCCACCCCACATCGCCTTGCTACCCCGGGCAGCTCACTAACCCAGCAGGAAGGCAGTCTATCTTCAGCACATCCCACTTCGCAGCACCAACACCCATGTAGCAGTCGTGCGGGGGAGCGGTGAGGCAGGGGTAGGAGCAGACATTGAGATGGGAAAAGAATGAAAGAGTATGACAAACAGTGTGGAAGAGAGAAAGAGAGCGACATTCCCTCACAGAACAAAGCCACAAGGAGACGGGATAGAGAGGCCATAGCATGAAAGAAAACCACAAAGTTGCACAGTGACAAACAGGCGACTGTGACTCATTAAGACTTTACACTCACTGCCAGATACCACCCCACCCCCCCACCCCACTCTGCAGCTTGGGATCAGCCACTTTACCAGTTAGCAATCAAACAGCCTGTTCTCTTATTAAACTAAACATCATTGTTCAATGCTTGATTCCAATAAGCAGAATACAGTACCTTAGCTGGACAATATAGGCTCAATTATTGCTACGATTGTATTTTAAAGGAAAGTTACAGGGGCGAAACCGTAGGCAAGTTTATCTAGCAGTAAATAAGACCCCAGTTGTTAGTCGATTAGCAGATCGCTTTCTGGGGGCAATAACCCCTCCAAAATAAAATTAAAAAATAAATTTGGTCACTCAATCCACGACTGTTTGTAGAACACTGCTGCGCACAATTGTTTGCCGTGTTTCGCCCACAAAATACACAGTAAATCCACCGTGTAAAATACACTGTCAATCCCCACAAGTGATCCGCGAATCGACTAACAAGCAGGTTCCTACTTACTGCTAGGCGAACAGAGGCATGTGGAGTAAGGAAACTTTCCCAACATTTCTCCCTGCCAGGAATCGAACCCAGGTCCTCTCGCTTGTGAGGTGAGTGCTCTAACTATTGAGCTACAGGACTTTATATGTATTTTATTGATAAGTGTATTATTGTTTTAAAATGTGTATGAATTTTGACGTTGCCTATTTTAAGTTTGCACTGTCACTAAAATAGTGAAATTAAGCAATACAGTTGCACAATTTAAAGGATAGGATTTTTATATGGGTTTGCTCATGCGATCTCATGGCACACTCAAAAAGAGAAGGGCGTTTCTCCCTATGTCCTGACCAACAATCCCACAAATAAATGATTAGCCATTCACTTTATTGCTGTTTGTGGGACATTGCTGTGTGCAATTTGGCGGTTCGCCTATAACACGCAACAAAATCCTGTGAGGGGCTTTGATGTGATCAGGCAGTATATCAAACATATGTATTGTTATTATAGCCAAGAGTGAGATGCAGGTCAGGAATGCACGCTTGCAGCCTGGGCAATTAACAGAAGCTGACCTCTTTGAAGGTTGGCAATCGCTTCATCGTAATTCTCCATTTCCAGCTGACACTGGCCCAGGAAGAAATGTGCTTTGACAGACTGGCTGTCCAACTCCAGGGCATGTTTACAATCCCCCAACGCCTTATCAAACTGCTGCATCTTCACATAGCACAGGGCTCGGTTTGTGTAGTACACCCCCACAGAGGAGTTACGGTTCTGGAAAAAAAAAGCCAAGAGATGAAAGTCAACAGCTTGTGAGTAATGGGGTGACTGTATCCCGTACAGCGCTCTGCACACAGAGGGAGGAACTGGATCACAGCAACTGGAATCCTGCAGGATGCTAGTCCCTTTGTAATATATCATTAACAAGACACTGAGAATTAAATGATAGGAACCACTCAGATCTCTGTGCAAGTCATTGTAAAACCCTGTGTAATATTAAACACTGGACCAACACACTGTTATGGGTTTCCTCGCCCCTCTTTGTCCTTCAACAAAGCACTCTTTCTATTGAGGAATATTCAGTAGGATCACATTCTCTGTTCCAGGTGACTGACCCTTATGAACTTTGGAAACTTCTCAGGGGCTTCCAGCTGGTCTGTCAGACGGTCTCCGGGTGATGCCTTCCCACTGCCGCCAACCAGCAAAGGCACTTCTTCATCCAAACCTCTCTTCCAGTCAAAGACGAGTGCCTCAGCATTTCACCAGCAAACTCTTGAATTTAACGCCAAATACAGAATACAGTACAAACTGAAGTTCATACAGCATCTTTCAAGTCAGGAGGCTGTCCCAAAGCACTTAACAATACTGGCTTAGCACAAGTCTGGCTCGCAAGTGCAGTGTATTCCATATTTAACAACTTCCATCAAATATTCAGAATAAACCATGTGGACTGTGTAGAAAATCAGTATAATGACCTCTGTATTAATTGTAGTCTGGCTACTGAAAACAGAAACATCTTCCGTGTCTTGACATGAAACCAGCTTTCACCTCTCCAGGCTGATGAAACAGACTCACCCACGCTTGTTTTCCTTCTGATTATATTTCTAGTTCTGTCACTTTGATGAACCAAAGACAGGAGTATTAATAACAGGATCAATGCCAACTTGAGGCCTTACCGATCTCCACCGACAACACGGACATTTTCGGCGCTGCAGCTCTTTCCTGACCTGCTGATTTTAAAACATATTTATATTTACAGTTCCAGCTAGTCACACAGATGGACGTTCAGCCTTGGCTCTGACAAATTACCAACATGTAGAGTTTGGAAGCACTGAATGAAGCAGGAAGCAGAACTGGTCCAAATTCTCACACCAAAATTAAAGAAATGAGACACCGCAGAATAATATATTCAGTGCAGGCTATATAAACAAACACTCACATGCTGTGTGAATTGAGATCAAACACAAGCACACAAGTTTAATCTAGGATTGCGCCATGGTACAGATTAACAGGATAAGCACATAAGAGGATGCCACATGACCACACACCTCCTCCCCACGGACTTGCTGACCAGTGACTTTGGGAGCTCGGATTGGCTGCCAAGCAGACAAGACGTAAAAGTCTTAAAAGGAAAATATCCACAAGAAACGTGTCACGAATATAATCACTGCAGTATTATGTTTGAAGTAGGATAGTGTGACCCTGAGCTGTCAGTTTCAACCTGACAATGGCAGTTGCATATTCCTAATCACTCAAAATATATTCCTCCGTGCTACAGCGCATTCAACTTACTCTAGTGATCTGAGGATGCATCACCAGCTGGGACAAAACTGTAAAATGGTGTCAATATAATGGTTGGAGGAATAAACGCGCAACTTTCCCTCACACTAAACACTGCTCAGCTTTGGTTTTAAAAGGTGGATAGCGAATTGTGCGAAAATAAAGTGAAGGACGAAAGAATCTCCAGCACTGCACTTACTCTGAAAAATTAGTTTACGGGTCAGAGGGTCTTTGAATTCAATCTAACAAAACAAGAATATGGAAAAGTAGTCAGTCTAAATTGACAGTTAATACAATAAGATTGCACCAATGATTTTGTCCTCCTTTCTTTACACAGCTATAAGCCTGGACCAACGATTTTGATCATTAAGGATTTGTCATTTACTGAATCAGTTGACTGACATGGATCAAAATGATTCTAAAAGAGAAATCGACAGCTACAAGTACAGGTAATACTGACCAAGTGTTTAAGTAACTCTAACCAACAGCTAACTAACAAACAGAAGGCAGACACCATACCTCAGTCTTTAAACAACAATTTACATTATACTGCAGCTTCACGTTGGGAAGACATCTCAAAACACGACACAGAGCTGAAGGAGAACCCAGATTTGTATTGTTATTACAAGGCCCAATCTCTTCCCAAAGATAACCAGAGAAACACATACAGTAACAGTACAAGTATCAGCTGGGTAATTGATGAGAATACCTAATAAGCACAGGAGAGATATTCTGGAGCTTGTTACAATTTCGTCCACAAAATATATAGTGACTACATTTTACAATGTTTCCTGTGAAGCTCTTTGGATCGTCTCACATTATAAGGCACTATGTTAAATGCACATATACAACCTTGAAATCACTTGACTCATATTGTCCAGAAGTTGAAAACACAGTATTTATACACCGAGGATATCAGCAATAGCTCAATATTGACTGATACTTGGACTGAAGGAGCTGACTCACAATAAAAGGCTGGGGAAACTGGAGGTTTATTCCTTAGAGAAGAGGATGTTAAGTGGATAATTTGATTGAGGTGTGTCAAATAATGAAAGGAACTGATAGTGGTGGCTTCCCTTTGACAAAGGGATCCAATAAAAAGGGGCAAAACCTCACAATCTGAGCCCAGTTTACTGTCGTGTAAACAGCTCCTTGGTAAAGACTGCTGTGTACCTGTCGGTGTTTACAGGGAGAATGCGGGCTGTGTGCTGTGTGTATCCCTGGTGTGTGTATGCGAGTATCCCTGGTGCGCTGTGTGTATTGCTGGTGGGCTATGTTTGTGTATGTGGGTGTACCTGGTTTGTGGTTGTACTGTGTATTTGTGTATTGTGTGTATCTCTGGCTGTGTATGTGTGTGCCCCTGGCTGTCTCGGATTTTGTATGTGTTTGTGTGTCCCTGGCACGCAGTATGTGTTTGTATTGTGTGTGTGTTTTCCTTGGCGGGCAGTATGTGTGTGTGTTTTATTGAGTGTGTGTGTGTGTGTTTGTAGTGTGTGTGTGTGTTTGCAGTGTGTGTGTGTGTGTATGTGCGTCTCTGGCGGTCTTTCTGTGTGTATGTGTTTGTGTCCCTGGCAGGCAGTGTATGTGTGTTTGTATTGTGTGTGTGTACTGTGTATTTGTATATTGTGTGTATATTGTGTGTGATGCACTGTGTATGTGTGTATATTGTATGCATGTGATGTACTGTGTACGTGTGTATTGTGTGTGTGTATTGTGCGTGTGTGTACTTGTATGTTTGTGATGTACTGTATGTTGTTTGTGTGTGTATACTGTTTGTGTGTGTATATTGTGTGTATATTGTATGTGTATAGTGTGTGTGTGTTTAGTGCGCGTATTGTATGTGTATATTGCATGTATTATATTGTCTGTGTATGTGTGTGTATATTATGTGTGAGTGTATATTGTGTGTTTCTGTGTAAATTAAGGTTAGGGTGTGTGTGTGTATCGTATGTGTGTATGTATATCTTATGTGTATTGTATGTGTGTGTATTGTATTTGTATTGTATGTGTGTATATATTGTGTGTGTGTATTGCGTGTGTGTATTGTGTGTGTATACATTGTGTGTGTATTGTATGTGTGTGTATTGTATGTGTGTGTATATTGTGTGTGTATTGTGTGCGTATATTGTGTATGTGTGTATGTGTGTATTGTATGTGTGTGTATTGTATGTGTGTGTATATTGTGTGTGTGTATTGTGTGTGTGTAGTGTGTGTGTGTAGTGTGTGTGTGTATATATTGTGTGTGTACTGTGTGTGTGTATATATTGTGTGTGTGCTGTGTGTGTGTACTGTGTGTGTGTGTGCTGTGTATTGGGTGTGTGTGCACTGTGTGTGTGTGCTGTGTGTGTATTGTAGGTGTGTGCTGTGTGTGTGTGTGTGCTGTGTGTGTATTGTGTGTGTGCACTGTGTGTGTGTGCTGTGTGTGTATTGTGTGTGTGCACTGTGTGTGTGTGTGCTGTGTGTGTATTGTAGGTGTGTGCTGTGTGTGTGTGTGTGTGTGCTGTGTGTGTATTGTAGGTGTGTGCTGTGTGTGTGTGTGTGTGCTGTGTGTGTATTGTGTGTGTGCACTGTGTGTGTGTGTGCTGTGTGTACTGTAGGTGTGTGCTGTGTGTGTGTGTGTGCTGTGTGTATTGTAGGTGTGTGCTGTGTGTGTGTGTGCTGTGTGTGTATTGTAGGTGTGTGCTGTGTGTGTGTGTGTGTGCTGTGTGTGTATTGTGTGTGTGCACTGTGTGTGTGTGTGCTGTGTGTATTGTAGGTGTGCGCTGTGTGTGCTGTGTATTGTATGTGTGTGTGCACTGTGTGTGTATTGTAGGTGTGTGCTGTGTGTGCACTGTGTGTGTATTGTGTGTGTGCGCTGTGTGCTGTGTCCGTGTCGGTGGCGGATACTCACAATGGCTTTGCTGTAGGAAGCCGCGGCCTCCTGGTATTTCCTGCCCAGGAACAGGCGGTTTCCCTGCTCCTTCAGGTCCTGGGCGCTCAGGCTCTTCTCGGGGCTGCCGGTCATACTGTCCCCGGAGCCGCCGCCCACACACACCCGGGAGGGAGCCGGCTTCCTGGACCCGCTCTCCATCGCTGTGGGCCCCAGGCCGCGGGGCCGGCGCTCGGGCGGCAGGCAGGGGCGGGCAGGCACGGGGGGCTCGGGGCAGGCCGCCGGGGGGGCTCGGGCCTGCTCACGGTGCCGGGGGGGGGGGGGGGGGGTGGTGCGGCAGCAGCCGGTGTCTGTGAGGCCTGGGGCCCGGGCTGGGGCTCCGGGGCCTGTGGGCGCTCGTCTCGGGGCTGAGGCGCTGCTGGTGCCGAGCCCCGCGCCAGTGACATCATCCGACCGCGCCTCCGCGCCGCGTACGTCACCAGTCCGCGCGGGGCGTCAGCGGCCGCCATGTTGGTGATGGAAAATGAGAGCCGAGGGGACGGGGGACGGCGAGAGGGCGAGTGGGTCAACGTTTCAGGTCGATGGCCTCTCGTCAGGACTGGGGGGGATGGGGGGATGGGAGGGGGGAAGGGAATAGATTATAAGGACACAAGCAGGGAAGTGTCTCCCCCCCCCTCCCCCCCCCCCCTCCCCGGAAAGAAAGGATATAATAATAATAATTATAATAATAATCTTTGCATTCGACGCAGCGCCTGATCACATCTCCGAGACGCCTCCAAGCGCTTCGCGGGACAGACGGCGAAGCGAATGGACTGCGTGTCTCGCGGGCGCCCCCTCCCCGCAAGCCGCCGGGGGTTGAAGCGACCCGTTTTATTTTAAAGGAGATAACGTACCCCCAGAAAAATGACCCGTCAATCAGCTTAACAGCCGGGTTCCTGCCCTACTGCTGCTGGATAGACAGCGCCGTGTGGAGAATGGAAACTTGCCCAACATTTCACCCCACCCATGAATCAAACTCGGGCCTCTCGCTTGCGAGGCGAGTGCTTTAACCACTGAGCTACAGGACTCCAGGATGCGCGATGGGTTTTAAACGACAATGATGGGGGGGGAGGGAAGGCTGAGACAAGATGGGAGCGGTGTTTTTAAGGTTTAAAGTGGTTAGAATCATTGTTGAGGCCGGAGTGCTGTCAGGTGCCCAGGAGGTAGATGAAGTGCTGTTCCTCACTGTGCTTCGTTGGAAGAGCGTAAGAGGCCAATGGACAGCGAGACCGGAGGGGGAAGAAGAATTAAAGTGGGAAGTGACCAGAAGCTCAGGGTTACACTTGCAGACAGAACGGAGGTGTCCGGCAGAGCAGTCACCCAATCTGCGTTTGGTCACCCCGATGTGTGTGGTGACACGCCATCCGGCATGAAGGGCACAATATAAATCCAAGTTGTTGATGTAGAGGAGACCACATCGTGAGCAGTGAATACAGTATACTACATTGGTGGACGTGCTTTGCTGAACATCTCCATTCCGTACGCAAGTGCAACCCTTCCAACATCCCACAGTTGTGATGGAAGGTCATCACCCTGAAACGTTAACTCATTTTCCTCTCTCAGTAGATGCTGCCTGACCTGCTGTGCGTTCTCAGCGACTTCTGTTTTATTTCAGATATCCAGCATCTGCAGTATTATGATGGTGATATAGCCTTGTGAGATTAGGGAGAGGCCTGGTCTGTGTACAGCCACATGATCTACGCCACCACACACACAACCCCTCCCCTCCACATATAGCCCCTCCACAATAGTTTCTCCCCACTTCCTACACGCCCCTTACACAAAACCTTACAAACTGCTGTAAATCTTTCCCTGCTCAGCTCTGACAGACCAACAGTATGGGCAGTCCTGTGTGTTTTGTGGCTGTTTATGAGGGCATATTGGAGTATCTTAAATTGCTGAAAAGCACAAAATAAGAGACTTTATTAAATACCATTTGGAAGCCAAAATATATAATACTAATAATCCTTGCATTTGATATAGCGCCTGATCACGTCTTCGAGATGTCTCAAAGCGCTTCACAAAATATACTGTAAAGTGTATTGACTGTATATTTTGTGGGCAAAATATGCCACCCGATTGTGCACAGCATTGTCCCACAAACAGTCATGGATTGAGTGACCAAATTTTTTTTAAAAATTGAAGAGATTATTACCCCTGGAAAAGCAGTCTGCCAATCGGTTAACAACCGGGTTCCTACTTACTGCTAGGTAACCAGAGGTGTGTGAAGTAAGGAAACGTGCCCAATGTTTCATCCTGCACTGGAATCGAACCTCGGGCCACTTGCTTGCGAGGTGACTGCTCTAACCACGAAGCTACAGTAATCCACAAGCTTTCAGCCTTCTTCCACGCTGGCTCCCACTCTCTCTGCTCTCAATATCTGCCACTTATTATTCTCTGTCATATTGTAAAAAGGAATTCAAGATTTTTAGCGTTGACTATCGATTGATCAGGTAACACTGTCACAGATTTAATGCTTTTAATTTCACTCGATATGCTCTTAAATCGAGTTCTCGCTAACCTAGGTTGGACTTCCCTGTTACATCAGCACCAGAGGGTAACGATTAGAATATCATTAACTTTGTTCAGGATTCTGAATAGCACCTTTGTGGCTGAGAACTTTGCTGAATATCTGCTGTTGAATGTTATTTTTACCTTTATTGATTGCAGCGCTCCACAGTGCACCCACCTGGAACGTCACAATTGTCACAGATTCAGTTTCTTAATGATGACTTCATTGATCACAATTTCTCCCTAAACCTCACCTCAGGCTCAGACAATCTTGCCCTCCTCACCCACCCCTGCCCTCCCCCCAGGCTGCCCAAACCCTTATCCTCGCTCTCCTCACCTCCAGACTGAGCCTCTCCCCATGCAGAAGGAGGCCATTTGGCCTATCGAGCCCGTCCACTGAGGGGGTGCAATCCCACTGCTCTTTCTGAATCTCAGGATTTGGGGATTTTAATGTACCAAATCCCAGGATCCCGAGATAGCACAATGTGGTCAGTGTTGCCTCTCATGCAGAAACCTCAGTGATCTTCACACTCACTGTTATGTCTCAGTTTTTAACCTTCACTGAGCCATGAGCTGCAGCGGATACACCTGCAGACTTGACACGACACGTCGCTCCGTCTCCGAGCTCTTTCACACAACAACAACATTACATTTATAGAGCGTGTTTCATGTCAGGAGGCCGTCCCAAAGCGCTGAACAGTCAGATGTCGGGGCCCGAGCATGGGGGAGGGGTGGTGTAGGGGTGAGGGAAGGCAGAGAGGTGGGAGGGAGACCAAAGGCACGATCGAAGGTCTTGAGACTGGCCTTGAAGGATGTGAGGGAGGAAGCGAGGCGAAGGGAACGTGGGATGGAGTTCCAGAGTGTGGGGGCAGAGAGGCTGTCAAGGACAGCCGTGAAGGTTGAGGTGGGAGGAGAGGCGGTGGATGAGGATAGAGTGGTCAACGGTGTCGAAGGCAGCAGAGAGGTCAAGGAGAACAAGAAGGCAGAGAGAGAACTAGGCGCAGATGGACAGAATGTCATTTGTCACTTTGACCAGGGCTGTTTCTGTGTTGTGGGACTCCCTTCATGAACCCTTCCAATCGGGTTTCCATGCCGCCCACAGCACAGAAACACAAACTGTACAAGGTCAAGAAACACATGCAGACGCACACAGTCAACACACACACATCAACATTCACACATCAACACACACACCAGCGCATCCCACCCAATGTTAACGTACATGTGTGTACTCACACACACATACAACGTCAACAAACACATGTGCACACATGCGCGCACTCAGATTTGGGCGGACACACAGACACACGTCAACACGCACATACAGACACGTCAACACACAGACACATTAGTGATAATAATATTCAACTTCAACATAATAATGTGATGTGCATTTGTAAGCAAATGTGGCAGCCAATAGTACATTGACAGCCTTCCTGCTGTCATTTGAATGATTGTCAAAGAACATTGCCAATTGCTAGAATCTGTTTTGCTACAGACTTTCCTGAGGAACAGATTTGAAACGAGAGATGCTGTTAGGAACATGGGATGGGGCCTGTCAGACTGTGTTAAACATATCTGCAGCATTAACCTCACACAGCAGGCACACACGGGCTGACAAGCAGGGTCAGGCCTCAGCTCCCCTGACATTAAACACAGTTTGAAAGCCGCATTAGTTCCCGAATCCTGAAAGACCCGGGATTCTCTTCTATAAATGCCAGGATTTGGGGAGCACCATTAGCATATGGAATTGGCAGGACTGGCCTGCCCCATCCCCACACCAATTAGAACATAAATGCTAGACGAAAAAAGTCCGTGCCTTACATTTCTCCTCATTTTTCTAATGTGACTCCTTTTATTCATTGTTATATTGTAGAGGCTTTTAACAAACCTATTTTTTAAAATCTTTTATTCACACAGCAAGACACTTTTATGGGAAAGTTTGTCACCAAGTATAGACATCCCAACCCTGCCATCTATTCCTGCCTATAACTATCACCTCCATCATTCTCTTAATAACCTTTCAGCAGATATCTGATTAATGCAATTACAATGCTGCAGTTTAGGTGCTTTTTTTATTAATGAGGTCTTTATTGAATTCCTTTCCTATTGTCACAGCTAAAGTCCCTTTGTGGTAAAATATTAATCTCTTTCCTCAGCTTCTCTCCTTCAAACCCACCATGGTAATTGGGTTCTCCTTGGAACTGAATTGGTTCCAAGGTGACATGCCTGGCAATGGAATATCAGAATCAAGCCAGCCCTCTGTGTTGGTCTCTCATCCGGTTCCTGAGCCAGGTGGGAATGCAGTATTGCAGAGGACTGCTAATGACAGCACAGCCAGGCTAGCTCATCAGTAGGACCTGGAAGGGCAGACCAGTCACTCCTGTTAATCCTGTAAGCCAAAGCCTTAATGGGTAGGGTGGTCCTAGCTCGACAAACAGCAGGAAAGCTTGCCGGACAGCCATATCAATGACAAGCTCTGCGTTTTTTGCTGGTCAGACCCCAATGCACACTCAGGGGTCACCAATCCTTGGTTCTTGCCAAACTGCAGTTGGCTGAAAGCACGGCTTAAGAGAAAGTTCTGAAAGGCTTTTGAGTGTTTGAGGCAGGGAGGGGCAAAGCAGTGAGATTGTGGGCTGTAGTTCCAGAGCACGGGAGCAGAAAGGCGGAAAGTGGGCAGGGACCATGGAGTAGGTCAGTGCCCGCTGAGTGGAGGGCGTGGCCAGGTCAGTAGGATTGAAGGAGGTCATACAGGTCGGGATAGGGGGTGACACTGTGGAGGGCTTTAAAAGAGAGGACGAGGATATTGAACTCTATCCTCTGGGGGATGGGGAGCCAATGGAGCCAGGCGAGGATGGGGCTGATGGACTTGTGGAGCCTGTAGCAGGCGAGGACACGAGTTCCAGATAGTCTGCAGCTGGAGCGGGGAGTCCGTTCAGTAGGAGAATCAATCCAGTTTTCCCCTGCTCTTCCACCTTCCTCACCTGGATCCTTGTGCTGTTTCCCTCTCCTCTGTTCTCCCTCTACAGTCTGACAGCTGCTGTCAACACTCTGATTCTCTACAGTACTTTATTTACCACCTGCTGTAACCCAGTGCAGAAATGCCTTCAGTGTCCGGATCCCAGGGAATGTGGTGACTGACTGTCCTGTAATCCTCGGTTGGGGATTCTGAATGTGAAATGATGAATAATACATTCAACTAACAGTGTGGGTAAGAACAATAATAACCCTTGCATTTGATATAGAGCCTTATCACGTCTTCTAGACATTTCAAATATAATGTTAAGTGAATTGACTATGTTTTGTGGGTAAAACGCAGCAGCCAATTGCGTAGAGCAGCGTCGCACAATGAGTCGTGGATTGAGTGACCAAGTTATTATTATTTTTGAAGGGATTCATTATCCCTGGAAAAGCAATCCGCCAATCGACTAACAACCCAGTTCCTACTTACTGCTAGGTAAGCAGAGGCGTGTGGAGTAAGGAAACTTGCCCTACGTTTCATCCTGACAATAATGTACAATAGCTGCTCAGCTTCGCTGTTAAATCCTAGCCTGACCGTGGCCACAGCAATGGAGACCCAGTTTTCAGTCTGACTGAAAGCCTGGCACAGAGCTGTTCCTTCCTTGGGAAGATGGAAACACCTACATTATTCTCTTAGCTGAGACACGTCACAGCCTGCTGGGAATGGGATGTAGCCAGGTAACTGGAGACCTGATTTAAATTCTGCTGTTACGTCCCGGTTATAGGGAGATGCGTGCTGCATGGGCACAGACAGGGGTTGGTGATCAATATGAATATTTATTGAGACACTTTGACTTGAAAACATCCGTATTAAATTGAACACAGGCCGGACGTGTCTGGAACCTTATAGATTTAAGTAACATTGTGCAATTTAAGTGTCATCGGCCACAAGAGAGAATTTCAAAAACCCACCAGCACATTTCCCGTCGCCGTTAATGAAATGTACATGAGATCTGATGGTCAGGGTCGGTCGTGAGCTAATGGAGAGACGTGGGAAAGGCTGGCGTGTCAGTTTGCCTTTCCAGTCTATTCCTCTTTGGACAGCTCTCTTCACGTTCATTCCCACCTTCACTCCCACGGTTTGTGAGCAGTTTAGTCATTGTCCCGAGGCTGAGATGTAAATCCTGCCAATGAGAATGATGATAAAAACGGGTCACCAAGCGCTCAGTTTGTAGTCGTTGCTCCACGCTGGGACTTCACTTAAAAAAAACAACCCGTCTCAGATTTCGTCCTTCACATTCCAGCTTGAGTAGCCGCACACTCCCCGCTGTTTACGGTGCGGGTGGGATCTGAACACCCAGGAGGTCGTAGGCAAAAATGTTCCAGAAAATTGCAAACAGGAGAAAGACGACGTAGGAGGAGAGGACAAGCCACCAGGAGCACTGCTGGTGCAGATTCTCCTCGTAGCTGCGCAGCATGATCAGCCCCATACTAACCCCCACCACCGCCCCCGCCAGGTGGGCCATGAAGCTGGGCTGGGGACCAGAGGAGGGCAGGGGAGGAGAGAAACGCAGCCACACTGCCCGGCCAACCTCCGAGCTCACTGCAAAAAGAAACCAGCCTCAAAATGGTGAAACATCCAAAGCAAATAACACAACCGCACAAAACTAATAGTAGCTCGATCGAGACTGTCAAACACATCACTGTTAGTTCAGCAGGTTTGTAAAGGTAAATCGCGGTGACTGATCCCATCCTGCAACAGTCACAGAGAAGGTTTGTCCATCGGAATTCTCCACAATGGGACTGCAGTCTGTCGTGGGTATCCGTGTGTTGGACTGTCTGTCTGGGGGACTGGCTCACTAAACCTGCCAGAATCTGGGACAATCTTTTCGGTTTTATTCTAAGTCATTGTTTTGTCAGCCTGACACTACAGTTCTGCCACTGACATGAGGCTGTGGACCAATGTGAGCTTGTCTGACACTCTACCCAACACCCAGGGACAGGGAGGGGAAACTTACTGCAGACAAGAGCCAGGATCATTCGAAGCAGTTTGTAGGGGCAACGCATCCCACCCCAGTTCTGAAAGACAAACAGTAGCACAATATAAATCACTGAGCATCGGCCACTCTCCGGCAACAGGCGGTGACACTAAACCTGTTATATCTACACATTCAATCATCTGGTACAACAGGCACAATGTTTTCCTCATTTGTCACTCGCTCTCCACGGGTCAAACAGATCCACCCTCACCTGATTACAGCACAAGGCAACTGACCGTGTGCCTGTACCTCAGTGCGACTGTAGGTTAGTTTGTAGCTCAGTGTGACTGTTCCTCAGTGACACTGTACCTCAGTGACATTGTAGCTCAGTGCGAATGTAGCTCAGTGCGACTAGGTTAGTTTATCTGTAGCTCAGTGCGACTGTACTCAGTGGGAAGGAAAAAGGAATTTTACATTTCGTTGACGTTTTTCTTGCAACATGAAAATCTTGCCAAAACAACAATAACTTGCATTTACATAGCGCTCTTCATGCCGGGCAGCATCTCAAAGGGCTTAGCAATGGCTGCAAAACCTTGAATCCAGGTCTGAATGTCACATCTATGATCATGGCAACAAACCAATTCCATTTTCCATTTTAGTTTCTATTTCAGAGAAGAACTGAGGTAAACACAGGCTGGTCACCGAGATTAACCCTGACTTTACTCACAGGAAAGATATTCACTTCTTACCATCTAAACCTGGTCCTTGGTTGAGAAGCTTGATCCTACCCACTAGAGAGCTGTCTTTCCTACACTTAAACCACTGACATGGGCGGGCTTCAGCCATTAGATGGCACCAATGGGCTTAAAGTCTCCGTAATGGACATGTCAGTGTCAATAAGGAAACCTGTAAACCTAAAACATACCTGTAGTTATGTTAAACTTTGCAATGCCCCCTGCTCCCCCCACCCCCTCCATTCCAATCTCCTTCCCCGTACAGTAACACATGCGCTTGTAACAATTCCAATGTGGAGAGAAGACACCTCAGATAGAACCTCACCCGAGGTGTTTAACATTGTAAATCAGATCGAAAATGTAAACCTTGGTCAAGACTTTCGGATACACTAAGACAGGAGAACCAGAGGACACAGGTTTAGAGCTGTAAAGTGGCAATTTCAGGACAGACACCAGGAAGTGTTTCTTTACCCAGAGGGTAATTAATGACTGGAACTGGGTTACCGGGCAGCCTGTGTGAGGCCGGGACACTGGACGTATTTAAAAAGCAGCTGTGATGCTGTGATGGAGGGTTACATTGATGGTTTCTTCACCTGAACAGATCTTGTGATGTTATGCTGTTTGCTGCAGAGTGCACTCAAATAACTACATTTTGTTTCAAAACATCCACAAACTGATCCACTACTTTCAGTTTCCTGGTTATTTACCTCTTCCGAGTGACAGTGGTTTAAAGTCACTGACCTGCTCACCTCACCCCCCTGACCCAGGGCTATAATTTATGTTTCTCGAGGGTTTGGCATTTTGTGGGAAAGTTTGCTGTTGGTACTCCCTGATCCCTGATGATAAATTATTAATTTACAATTCTGAACTTATTTATAAGCTCCCAGCAATTCACTTGCTAAAATTAACCAATGAAGCTGAGTAGCCGAGGGCAGGGCTGCTCTTCCCATAAATCATACAATATCATATTATAGGGGTAGGCATTCAGCTTCTCATCTGGGGTGGGGAGTTGGGGTGCTCTGACGAGACACTGGTGACAACGCCCCAGCTCAGTCTGCCCTGTCTGTCTCCCCCACCTGTTTGTCTGACCGTCTCCCCCGCCTGTCTGTCTGTCTCCCCTGCCTGCCTGCCTGCCTCCCCGGCCTGTCTGTCTCCCCGGTCGGTCTGTCTGTCTGCCTGTCTGTCTGTCTGCCTCCCCGGCCTGTCACTCTGTGTTTTTGTCTGCCTCCCCGGCCTGTCTGTCTTGTCTGTCTGTCTCCCCGGCCTTTCTACCTCCCTGCCTCCCTCCCTTCTCTCCCCTCACCCTGACCATTTCCCCCCCACTGCTCGGGTCCCGACCCAACTGTCCAGTGCCTTGGGACGTCCTCCTGACGTGAAAGGCGCTCTATAACTGCAACCTTGTTGTTGTTGTTGCCTGCCTGTCTCCCGTCTGTCTGTCTGTCTCCCTGGCCTGGCTGTTTGTCTGTCGTCCACAAATATCCTTTTTACATCCGCTATCACAACAACCCCCTGTATTCACCCGAGCAGGTGTCACGATCGTAACAAGATAAACTATTACCATGACAACATTGGCCAAGTGAGCGGAGCAGAGAGCGTAGACTCCCCCAGACGCCCCGACCAGAGGTGCCCTCATGTCCGTGATGGAGACCGTCAGAGAGCCTGCAACACAAAGCACACGGTCGGTACATTCCCCAGAGAGCTGGGACCTCACACACGCCAGGCACCGGGTCACCGCAGCAGCCAACACGGAGAGGACAGGATCTCCACTCCACCCCTCTCAGCTAATGCCTTCAAGGGTTATTACCGGCTTTCGCGGCTTCAATTATTTCAATTAATGCGTTTCAAATATATTTCTATAAAAATAATAATCCATACGTTTGATATCGCGCCTTTCACGTCAGAAGGTCGTCTCAAAGTATTTCACAGGATTCACTGTAAAGTACAATGACTGTGTGTGTTTTGTGGGCAAACGTGGCGGCCAATTTGCACACAGCAATGTCCCACAAACAGCCATGAAGTGAATAACTTACTTGATCTGGGGATTGTTGGCCAGGACACCGGGAGAGAGAAACTCCCTTCTCTTTTCAAATTGTGCCATGAGATCTTTAACGGGAACTCTCTCCTCGCCAGCCTTCCCAGTGCCTTCGCTGCTTCCTCCCTTTCCTCCTTCAAGGTCGGTCTCAAGACCTTTCTCTTTGACCGTGCCTTCAGCTCCCCTCTTGACTCTCTAACCCCCTCCTTGCTCCCTCCCTTCCCTCCCCTCACCCTGACCATTTCCCTCCTCCTCGCTCCCTCCCTCCCCTCCCACTGACCATTTCCCCCCTGCTCGGATCCCGACCCAACTGTCCGGCGCCTTGGGACGTCCTCCCGACGTGAAAGGCGCTCTGTAAATGAAATCTTGTTGTTGTTGTTAAAATCCACCTGAACAGAGCCTCGGTTTAATGTCTTATCCATTTAGGGTATATTGGCTCTCCTCTCCTTATTCCTTCTCTCAAAATGCATCACTTCACACTTCTCTGCATTAAATTCCATCTGCCATGTGTCTGCCCAGTATGTCTATGTCCTCCTGCAGTCTGGTACCACTCCTCACTGTTTACTACATTTCCAAGTTTTATGTCATCTGCAAACTCTAAAATGTTGCTCTCTATATCCAAGTCCAGGTCATTAATACATATTATAAAGAGCCGTGGTCCTAATACCGATCCTTGGGGAACACCACTATATACTTCCTTCCAGTCCGAAAAACAAGCGTTCACCACTACCCTCTGCTTTCTGTCTCCAAGCCAGTTTCAGATCCACGCTGCCACTGTTCCCTTAATAATAATCCTGGCATTTGATACAGCACCTTATCACATCTTCGAGACGTCTCAAAGCGCTTCACACAATATACTGTAAAGTGAATTGACTGTTTATTTTGTGGGTGAAACATGGCAGCCAATTGCGCACAGCAGCGTCCCACAAACAGTCGTGGATTGAGTGACCAAATTATTATTATTATTTTTTTGAAGGAATTATTACCCGGGAAAAGCATTCCGCCAATCGACTAACAACTGGTTTCCTGCTTACTGCTAGGTAAACTGAGGCATGTGGAGTAAGGAAACTTGCCCAACATTTCGCCCGTCCGGGAATCGAACCCAGATCTCTACTTGCAAGGCAAGTGCTCTAACCACTGAGCTACAGGACTTCAAATCCCCAGGGCTTCAAATTTGCTAACATTCTGAGCTCCACTCGCTGACTTCCAGCTCTGCAACACAATTATTCTGTTGTTACAAAACCTAAACACCAACTGACCTTTGTTTCATGAATTATTTATCGGGACTGATGCAGTTTTCTTTTTATAGGATTTGGGCTAGAGCTGGTCATGAGAGTGAAACATGGGAAGTGCCAACAGTGAAAGGAACCTCTAACAGTGGCCATCCACCCCTCAGCTTCTCTGCCTCCTCCCTCACCTCAGGCAAACAGACTCAGACTTGGTGATGTCCACTGTCAGAAATTGCTTTCACTCTCATCATTGTCACTTTCCCTGGACCCGTGGCTATCCCTAGACACCTGTCACACATCCAGTTCTGGGCGACCGTAGCTTTCCTCAACCACATTAGCCAGACTAATCTGTGCTCCTCGGCTTCAGCAGCACCTCAGGCTCTGACTGCCTGGCCCTCCCCACTCGCTCAAGCACACCCCCCCACCCCCACTCTGGACTGCCCAAATCCTCACCCATGTCCTCCTCACCTCCAGCCTGGGTCTCTCCAGCGTCTGCTCGACAGTCTCCCTGCTCCACCCCAGGTCCTCTCCAGCTCTAACCACAAAATATTAACTGTCAAATACATTTTGTATTAATCGGCGCCCGTTAACCCTGTACACCAAAGCCCTAATGGGTAGGGTGGTCCTAGCTGGACAAGCAGAGGGACAGCTTGCCAGGCAGTGCTCTCAATGATAAGCAATGTGGTTTTAGCCAGTTAAATAACAGCATTTATTCCACTGCACACTGCAGGCTCTCCAAGCCTTGGCTCTTGCCATCCCGAGCCTAATACTCTCCAGAATTAGGTAAGCAGGACACATCCCTCAGGGGACAGAGTAGGCATTCCATTCCAGACACAGGAATTTCCGTATATTGGTAGGATGCATGGAATTCTCAGTTTGGTTTGATACTCTTAAGTACGGTGATGGGTTTCCGCATGTGTCAGACATCCGACTGAACAAAAAAAAGCTTCAGATAAAGGAGGATCAGCTGTTATATAAATGATTATTGGATCTTGAGCTCACAGATGAATTTGGTTTGGTCAGCCCGGAAGTCTGACACATGCAGAAACCCATCACCATGCATAAGAGTATCCATGGAGAGTTCTATGCATCCCACCTACACACAGAAATTCCAGAGATAGATTGTTGGAAAGGAATGCACATTCTCTCCCTGGAGGGATGCATCCTGTTTACTCAATGCCGGAAAGTATTAGGCGCAGGTTGGCAAGAGCCAAGGCTTGAAGACCCCAGAGTCTGCATTGGGGGTAACTGCTGAAGTTTAACCAACTAAAACCGCATAGCTTGCCATTGGTATCACTGTCCAGCAAGCGTTTCCGCCGTTTGTCCAGCTAGGACCATCCGACCTGTTAGGACTGTGGCTTGCAGGGTTGACAGGAGCTGATTTGGATGACTCCCTGCCCCCATTGACTGGTCTGCTCTTCCAAGTCCTGCTGATGAGCCAGGCTGGGCTGTGCTGTCATCAGCAGTGCCCTCCAATACCACGGACTCGAGACCATCCCAGCCAGTTGAGCTGCAAGGAGACCTCGCTTACCTCCCCAGCTCACAGTCTAAGCTGACCCTCCATAGCGGTGCTGGGGGAACGCCTCATTGTTCAAGGTGCCATTGTTCAGATGAGATGTTAAACCGAGGTCCTGTCTGTCTGTTCAAGTGGACGATAAAAGATCCCATAGCACTGTTGGAAAATAGAATGGAGTTTCTCTTCCCCGCTGCCTGGCCAACAATCCCCCAAATAAAATAATTCATTAACTTCATAGCTGTTTGTGGAACTTTGCTCCGCACAAATTGATACCTACAAATACACAGTCAGTGCACTTTACAGTGAACCCTGTGATAATGTAGCCAACAACCAAAGCTGGTGTACACTTGCCAGAAGTTGTCAACAATACACAGAAAGCTAACTCTGTGCAAACCTAAAGGGGGAAGAGTTAATTAATTAGTTACATCTACACCTCATTAACGTTTAAATATTTGATGAGATATTCAGTGCGAAATATGCAAATGTAAGAAAGGAGCAGGTTTAATTTAATAGTCCCATCAAGGGACTAACATTCTGCCTCATATCAGGTCCCCTGTTAATTCAAACACAAGGCACCACACTTGTCTTTCCCATGAATTTTGGTGTAATTCCTGCCACATTGCTGGACTCCTTGGCTTCAGTAAAAGAGCTGTACTTTACGTACCTACAGCCCCACCCCATCGCCAGCCCCATTCCCAACCTCACACTCACTCACCGACCATCTCACACTCACTCACCGACCACCTCACACTCACTCACCGACCACCTCACTCACTCACTCACCATCTCACACTAACTCACTGACCACCTCACACTCACTCACCGACCATCTCACACTCACTCACCATCTCACACTCACTCACTGACCACCTCACACTCACTCACCACCTCACACTCACTCACTGACCATCTCACACTTACTGATCATTAATAGGCAGATGAAATCTCAGTATAATGCCTCAACCACCTCTGACAATGCAGCAATCTCAGCCCTCGCCCCCCCATCACACCAGCCCTCACTAGGCTGCACTGGCTCCCAATTTCCAAACGGATCGACTTCAAGATCCTCTCTCTCGTTTTCAAATCCCTTCACGCCCTCGCCCCTCCCTACCTTTCTGACTTGCTCGCCCCCCACTCCACCACCCTCTGCCTCCGCTTGGCTGGCTCCACGTGACTGAGTGAGTGAGAGATGTCAGTGAATGAGTGTGAGATGGTCAGTGAGTGGCCGGATCCGGCCTCCTGTTCGTCCTCCTCCTCCTCCGCTCCACCATTGGTTGCCGTGCTTTCAGTCAATACACCCCCAAAGCCCAATGCAGGGATTGAACCCACAACCTCTGACTCTAACTGAAAGTGCTAGCAAGCGAGCCAGGCTGACACAAGATTTGGTGTGCACAAACACAAACTCTATTAGCTTGTTTCTTATAGGTAAGTGGAAGTAGATCCAATCTTAGCGTGTGATAAAATATTTCTGAGGGACAGTATATTTTGTGTTAATAAATTGATTAAATTGCTTTGTTCTGTATAACAATCATGTGAGGAAAGAAAATCAGAGGGGATCTGCGTCTTTTTTATACATCTCTTTTACAGCTAGTCTTTACAGCCGTCAGCCTCTACAGAGATACGAGTGACAAGTAGTCAGTCTATCATCACAACCACAGCTGCAAGCAATGAAAATACGTTACTGCTTCAAAGTCCATTGAAGGATTTGAATATAGGGTCGGTGTTAGTGTTATATCATACAGCGGAGAGGGGCATCTGCATTATTCAGAGGCTATATTGTAATAATTATCCTTGCATTTGATATAGTGCCTTATCATGTCTTTGAGACACCTCAAAGCGCTTCACAGAATATACTGTAAACTGAATTGACTGTATATTTTGT